GGGTTGGGCTAGAGCGAATGCTGGCTGGGGAATTCTGGGAGTTGAAGTCCAGACATCTTCAAGTTGCCAAGGTTGAGAAACAGCCAGCGAATGCTGGCTGGGGAATTCTGGGAGTTGAAGTCCAGACATCTTCAAGTTGCCAAGGTTGAGAAACAGCCAGCGAATGCTGGCTGGGGAATTCTGGGAGTTGAAGTCCAGACATCTTCAAGTTGCCAAGGTTGAGAAACAGCCAGCGAATGCTGGCTGGGGAATTCTGGGAGTTGAAGTCCGGACATCTTCAAGTTGCCAAGGTTGAGAAACAGCCAGCGAATGCTGGCTGGGGAATTCTGGGAGTTGAAGTCCGGACATCTTCAAGTTGCCAAGGTTGAGAAACAGCCAGCGAATGCTGGCTGGGGAATTCTGGGAGTTGAAGTCCGGACATCTTCAAGTTGCCAAGGTTGAGAAACACTGCCTTAAATCAACACAGGAATTATGGCCTAAATCTATGTACCAAGGCAGGACGCTGTACTAAGGGAATGAATGAGAAATTCAGAAGAATCGGCCTGGGATGGGAGACCACGGGGAAAGCCCAGGAAAAAAACTAGACAATCCGGGGGTATATGGGGGAAAGGCTGATCATCAGCCTGGTCTTCCTGACTCTGGGCCAGCTGTGGGTTCAAAGACAAGAGTTGAAGAGCAGAACACACATGGTGGGTGTCTTCGCTTCCCCCCCCCCTCCCACAATGAGGTCTGGAGGCTGAGAATCTTCTCCCCTTTTGAGGGAGGCGTCTTTGTGCTGTAGAGACCCCTTTGCTTCGCCTGGAACCTAAGGAGGAATTTCCCGACAGTAAGGAAAATTAATCTTAATTTTATTAAAATTAATTAAAATTAATTTTAAGTTGTAAGCCGCCCTGAGTCCCCCCAGGGAAAAGGGCGGCATATAAATAAACTTTAAATCTAAATCTAAATCTAATCGGTTGCCTCCAGAGGTTTTGGCCGATCCATCACGGATGGTTTTCAAGAAGACTGGACAGCCGTTTGCCCGAGATGGTCTAGGAAGGGTCTCCTGCTTGAGCAGAGGGGTTGGACTAGAAGACCTCCGAGGTCCCTTCCAGCCTTGCGATTCCATGAATTGCGGCTGGGACTGTTTTGGTAACTTGGGCGTTCTTAAGAGAACGGGCATACCTATTTCACTGTTCTTTAGGTTTATTTTCTAGGCCCTGCCTGATTTTTTTGCAAATCCCCTCCCCTGCCTCTTATTAGTGCCCACCCACTCAATTTGAAAAGGGGGGGGGAGGCGTGTCTCTTTAAAAACCTTTGAATTGCAAAAATAACGGAAGGAGCAGAATTTATATTGAGCTTTTAATGGGTGGTCTTTAGCGCCATCCTGTGGTCCAAAGGAAGTATTGAAGCTTCCCTTAACAAATCCCCTTAATGGATCTTCTGCAGATCGGGAAAAAAAAATTCCTTTCCTTCCTTCCCCCCCCCCAAAAGAGAGAAAGGAAAACGAGGGGGGACATTTTCATTCTGGATCTTGTTTTGGGGAGACCTGGCTCCGATTGCGCCTGTCTCAAACTTGGGGCGACTTTGAGAAAGGTGGACTTTCGATAGATAGCAGAGATACACCGAAGGGAGGAGCAGAGGGATAGAAGAAAGAGGGGTAGAGAGGGTGAGAGAAAGGATCGGAGGGAGGGTGAGAAGGAAGGGAGGGAGTGTATTGGGAGAGAGGAGTGGTAGAGGGGGAAGGGAAGTAGGATAGAGGGGAACGTTGGAGGGAAGAACGAAAGTTGGAGGGGGGTGAAAGAAAGGGTGTATGGTGGGTCGAAGTGGTGTATTGGGTTTGTATTTTGGGGGGTATTGTTGACAAGAGGGAGGGCTGGGTTTATTGTTCAATGTTATATG